CCCGCCACGCCCTGCCGCGCTATCACCCAGGCGCCTAACCATGACCGAACGCGCTGCTTGTCTGCGACCTCTCACCTCTGGTTGGTCTCTACCGCTGAATTCGTGTTTCGTTGCGGGACCTTGGCATCTACGCAAGTGCTGCACCTTGAGAACAGCTCAGGCGGAGCATGGAGGCGACACCCTCCACCCCTTTACAGTGCAGTTGCCGGCCACCTTTGAGCGGAGTAGGTGGCACGCTACTTGAGCTGAGTACCGATTTGCTTTGCGCATTGCAAGGACCGTCCTCGGAGGTAGCGCACAGTTTTTCTCTGAACTTTTCTGAGAAACAGGGTTATACTTTCGATTTTATAGCAAATTTGAATTTGTACAATTTTTAAGAGCGTAACTCCTCACGAACCTGGAGACGCTAAGAATCCAGCTCATCTCAGTCCACGTACAATAGAGGTAACTTTTCTTTTATTGGTTCCAATGAATGTAGTGAATGAATATGAGAAATGAGCTCATTTGGGAATCATTTGGAACATCTGAGTCGGGCGCTAACTGACAGAACAGTTACTAGCACACTGACTTGATGCAGTGCAGCTCTGTCACGTCAAATCAATGGAGTCTGGTGCGAATGCCGCGCAAGTGACGCCATTACGCCATTCCCAATGCCTTTTTCGCCGCCTTAGCCGAAAATCTGCTGTACAGAAGTGCACCCGAGCTTCACTGTACCTTCGAGGATCGTGTTCTGTATTTCTTCGTTCAAAACTGCACAGTAATGGGATTGGTGAGGGGCAGGGGGAAGGGGAAGGGGTATTGATACCCGAATGCCGTCTTCATACTCGCACGCCATTCTCACGGTTGATACAACAGCAAACCGCAGCAGAGCGCACGTATTCGTATCCACCCAGAAGTGAGAGACAGGAGGAGGCAGGAGATGAGGACAGGTAGCGCGTTTAGCTACGGTTAGGCGTTTGGCTGGCCGTGCGGCAGCCAGGACAGAGCATGGAGACGACACCTCCGTATCACTACCCTTCACCTTCGTTCCCATCACTTTTTGCCGCACATAGAGAGGATCAGGAAACTTTATTAGTGTGCAGAAGCAGTCTCCACGAAAAAGAGTGCAGTTTGT